CCATTCAGGGTTTTGGCTCGGGTGGGCCGGGTTGCGTATCGACTGGATCTGCCAACCGAGCTTAGTCAGTTCCACAACACTTTTCACGTCTCCCAGCCGCGGAAGTGCTTAGTGGATGACTCCGCAGTTGTGCTCTTAGAGGATATTCAGGTGGACGACCGTCTGAATTATGTTGAGAAACCAGTGGTGATTTTGGATCGGAAGACAAAAACCTTGAGGAACAAGGTTGTGCAGTTAGTTAAGGTGCAGTGGCAGCACCGCAAGGTGTCAGAGTGGATGTGGGAGCCAGAGGAGGATATGAGGGAGCATTATCCAAGATTATTTGAGACAGTGGACTTCGAGCACAAAGTCTGATTCAAGTGGGGGAGAATTGTAACATCCGAATCTGAGGTATTAAAAATATTAATTTTTGCATTTAGAAGAGGCTCACGACGTGAGCCATAGTGGTCACGTCGTGAGTAGTACCATTGACCGTTTGACCCGTGTTGACGAACCTCACGACGTGAGGCATAAGATCTCAAGATGTGAGCCAGGCCTAATGGTTCCAAACCCTAAAAATCGAGTATAAAACGGAATGAGGAGGCTAGGGTCGCCCATCCTCAGCCTCTTTCACTCCGAAGTCACGGAAAAACCCTAGATTCAACCCTATTGAGTCCTTGAGCCATTGTTGGTGGTATTGGTGTGTTAATGGTGTTTTGTTTTCCTTAAAGAAGAAGAAGAAGCTCTTGTGGTGGTTCCTTTTGACGACATAAACCCTTTCTTGTGGATTTTCTGAGCTTGTGAGCTTCTCTAAGTCATAAAGATCCTATCTTTTTGAGTTAATCTTACTAGATCTAGGTTATGGTTGCCTTCTTTTCATGGGATCTTGGATTATCATGCATGAAGTCCATAATGTTGGCAACTTTATGGACCATTGAGTCATTTGTTGTATTAAAAACCTTGGATCTGGATTTTGGTGCAAGTTTTTGGACTCCAAGTTTGAATCTTGATGTTTACACCCATCTTTTGACTTAACTAGTGTTTAAGTCATTCATGAGACATGCATGACTGAAAAGATATGATTTTTATGGTCCTTTAGGCTAGATATGGTATTATGGAAAGTCCCAATGCACATCTTAAAGGATTAAGAGCTTAATGCTCACAGAACAGTTCTTACGACGTGAGAAGTATAGTCTCACGACGTGAGCATGGCGACTGCCCTGATTTGAAACCCTGAGGCGAGTGAACCGAGTTGACTTGCTGTGTCAACCCCAAGTCGAGTTGACTCTCACGACGTGAGCCAAGGAAGGTCAGTACGTGAGTACAGAATGATAAGAAAAGTGGACCATTGACCCGAGGCGTTGACTTTTGACCTAAGTTGACTTTTTGTCAACTATTGAGAAGGAGGGTAAGTCTAAGGGTTTAACTGCATGATTTCTTAGGTGTGGAGTAGTCCGGAGCAGCTGATAGCGTGAGCATCAATATTTGACTTTCGATTGTGAGGTGAGTTTTCCTCCTAGGAACGGGTCTAAGGCACCAATGCCGGCCCGTTTATGTATGTTAGCGATGTCGGGGTTAGCCCGATGTAGTTTATATGTTTCCGGACTTTGGTACAATGTCGGGGCAAGCCCGATGAATGTTTCTATGCTTAATGTCTTCGTGATTCTTGCATGTGTATGTTTATGTGTTCCAGACTACGGTCCGATGCCGGGGCAAGCCTGAGGAACGTTTAACTTATATGTTATCTGTTATTTGTTCCGGGCTTCGGTCCGATGCCGGGGCAACCCCGAGGAATGTTTATATGTTTATTTTTATATGGTTGTTGATATGTTATATGTATACCGGACTTCGGTCCGATGCCGGGCGGGGCCCGATGTAGCGGGCAAGGCCTAATGTATGTGAGTATGTGATTATGTGATTATGTGTATGGTATGTGGTAGTTTGGGGAGACTCACTAAGCTTCGTGCTTACAATTTTTAGCTTTGGTTTCAGGTACTTCCGGTAGCAAGGGGAGAGTTCGGGATGACTGCATCACACACACCATTTATGTTTAGCCTGGGATATTTTACTTTGATTTACTTGACATGTGATTGATATGGATACACTGTTTTGACATTTGAGATATTATGGTTCATGTTTTGATAAATGATTTTTAGTAATACTGTTTTAACTAATGATTTATAAATGAAATTTTTGGACCGTATTTTGGGATGTTTCATGATGATTTTTAAGGGCGCCGACAAGGTGTGGAGCATTTTGGAGGCTCCATTGTGTTCTAATTAATGGTTCAAGACTTCTAGTTTTAGAGAAGATATTATATATATATATTATAATATATATATATATATATATATATACTATATAATATATATATATATATATATATAGCAGATTACAGATCGATATAGCAGATTACGTCTTTCGAGTGCACATCGGTGGCTTTCAAGTGCATATAGACAACTCTGAATGCTACCAACGACCCTTTATCTTCTCTCATCAGACATCAAAAGAACAAAACCCCAACTCATTTACATAACCAGACCATCATCCGTAGCCCGCCATCGTTAACGGAAACCGCAATAACTGGAACATCGGCCTCCATAAACCACTAGACCGTCGTCTTCCCGTTCGACATCAAGATGCAGAAAAGAAGACATTGTGATATCATCATTCCTTCCTTATTCTCATTTAGGTGCAACGAACCATTCGTAGACCACTTAAAGCAATCATTGTGAAATCAAAACTAGATGTCATGGTTTCCAACGACTGTTCTGAAGAACCAGATAGTTTAGAAGAATGATAAATGGGTATCAAAACCCTCTTCCGATCAAAACATAGATGCACCTTGAACTTACAGATGAGTTATAAGAAAGAGAATGAGAATATGTCAGAGAAGGAGAACCTAACAAGATGGGGAAGACGGTGAGGTTGGATGCAGGGGAGGAAAAACAAGAAGGTGAAGTATATATTGGAAGGTGATTTAGGTTGGGTTTAGGTTGATTTTTAAGGGCGCCGACAAGGTGTGGAGCATTGTGGAGGCTCCATTGTGTTCTAATTAATGGTTCAAGACTTCTAGTTTTAGAGAAAAGATATATATATATATAATATTATATATATTATATATATATATATATATATATATATATATATATCATATAGCAGATTACAGATCGATATAGCAGATTACGTCTTTCGAGTGCACATCGGTGGCTTTCAAGTGCATATAGACAACTTTGAATGCTTCCAACGACCCTTTATCTTCTCTCATCAGACATCAAAAGAACAAAACCCCAACTCATTTACATAACCAGACCATCATCCGTAGCCCGCCATCGTTAACGGAAACCGCAATCACTGGAACATCGGCCTCCATAAACCACTAGACCGTCGTCTTCCCGTTCGACATCAAGATGCAGAAAAGAAGACATTGTGATATCATCATTCCTTCCTTATTCTCATTTAGGTGCAACGAACCATTCCTAGACCACTTAAAGCAATCATTGTGAAATCAAAACTAGATGTCATGGTTTCCAACGACTGTTCTGAAGAACCAGATAGTTTAGAAGAATGATAAATGGGTATCAAAACCCTCTTCCGATCAAAACATAGATGCATCTTGAACTTACAGATGAGTTATAAGAAAGAGAATGAGAATATGTCAGAGAAGGAGAACCTAACAAGATGGGGAAGACGGTGAGGTTGGATGCAGGGGAGGAAAAACAAGAGGGTGAAGTATATATTGGAAGGTGATTTAGGTTGGGTTTAGGTTTATTTTAATTCATTTTATTTTTTTGCTAAATAATAAATAAATATATAAAATAAATAATCAATAATCAATAAATAAATCAAAAAATAAATAAGGAAGGGTAATACAGTCTTTTTAGATATGACAGGGACCAAACGCGCAACAAAATTATATCATAGGTACTGTCCGAATTAAAAAAACACAATTAGGGACCAAGGGCGTATATTACCCAAACCATAGGGACCATTCGTGTAATTTACTCTTATTTAAATTTAGTAAAATTTAATTTAATACCAAAAAGAAAAAAAATATCCCTAAAATATGGATGTTACGCTTATACAGTTATACTACAATTATTGATGGTTATTGAATTTACGTATTTGTTTGAGGCGTATGAATTAATTGATAAAATGGATGATGTTGGCATGAACTAAAATGAATAGGGTGGTGTTCACAGATTGTGAATATGGGAAAGATGAGGAAAAAGACTATTACCCTCGCATGATACATGAGGATCTTAATGGTTCCACCTTAACGGAATTTAGGTTAAAGTACGAGCATTGCAACGATATATTGGAGTAAGGATCAAGTTTGAATGAAACCAATATTGTGGACTAGGTATTACGTTTATCAAACCTTGGGGACTAAACATGGAGTTTACACTAAATTAAATATAAAGAAACAATATGCTTAAAGACGATATGTGTAATCATAATGATGTTAGTAGACAGCAGCCTTTCCCTTGGGTTTTTCTTTTTCTTTTTTCCCTTTCCATTTTTGGCTTCTTCTTTTCTCTTTCCCAACATTGAATTGCTTTATAGTTCTCTGTTCAGTCAAGGTTTATATTCACACACACAGAGTATGACTCTCATCAAAATCTCTCTCTCTCTCTCTCTCTCTCTCTCTCTCTCTCTCTCTCTCTCTCTCTCTCTCTCTCTCTCTCACACACACACACACACACACAAAAACACACACATATATATATATAATATATATATATATATATATATGCTCTTTTTTGCTCCCTTTCTTGTGCAGTACGTCTTTGTTTTTGATATTTTATCAAGAGATATAATGAATTTATAACGGAAAACTAAATACAACTGTTTCAAAAAGTCGATATTCACTTAAAGAACTGTATGTTGTGTACTGCATGTGTCTCCTTGCTCCTACTCTTGAATAGCTTTCTTGATCAAAGTCTTAACACTAGATTGTGTGTGTGTATATATATATATATATATATATATATATATATATATATATATATATATATATTGTTGGGTTCTAGACATGGTGATCAGGGTCTGGCCAGTAGGTGGAGTACTTCAACCAGTCTGTCTCCTGTGGGTTTGTGATGGAACATTCCTGCAATGGAAACAAGAAAATAAAATATATTATATTTTTAGGGTTAGTCTCTAAAAATGTAAGGTTATATCATGCATGCCTGCATGGGATGCAATGGTGCCCAAGTAGAAAACGTTTGGTGCAATAAAGTTATAAAGCGTATGGTTAGATTAAAAATTACACATTATTAACAAGATTTATATGGATTCATGAAAAAGATGACTATAAAAGTTGTATTCAGTAACTGATAAATATTAACATGATTTATTTAAAGATGAAAGTTCGCTATAATTGTATATAACCTCGGGATGGGGGTATATTTTCTTAGAGAATATAGAAAAAAAATATATTAAGGTTTGTATTGAATTGCACAATTTTTTCTCAAGGGTTATACTATTTAAAGAAAATATAACCCCATGGCTACACGTGAAATTTCAGTTTCGATTTTTTTTCTATTATCATGCAGCTACTGAAATTTTATGATATCTTGTACGTGCCACCCCTAATATGGAATCATACATTGCCTCTGCAATAATCATTACTCATTGTTCACAATACATCACCTAACCCCTCCTAGTATAAAGGAAGGATTATCTCCTTGTTATATATTGTATTTTTCCTACTTTCTCTCTTGTCAATTTGTATTTAATCCCATGTAACCTTAATCACATATAATAGTGGTCGCTCAATAACTCCATATTACATTTGAGCCCTCTTTAAACGCTCTCTAATTCATGACATCTTGTACCTCATAAACTAAGTTGTCTTCTTAAGACTTCTACCAATATCCCACCAAACTAATTTAATTTGGCCTTAATAAAATAAATATCCAAACCTACAAAAATGATCAAAGAAATAAAAGACAACAATAAAGTCATCGAAAAGAGTGCATTAGAAATTCAGTCTCATATATTTGCCGTCTTCTCATCTTACGTGTAAATATATTTGGAGTCCCCATATTAGCTCTCTAAAAGAGTCCTTATAGAGAGAAGGGGACTCCAACATATATAACCACTTATAAGACTGTGTCGCACCAATGTGAGATATACTAACACTCTTCTCAGATTCGGAGGCTCGATGATGATAGATAGGGATGTGCTAAGCCACGGGGATGCAGACTCTGACTCTTATACCATGTAAAGATATGTGAAGTCACTATATGAACTCTCTAAAAGAGCCCTTATAGAGAGAAGGAGGACTCCAAAACATATATGACTACTTATAAGACCATGTCGCACTAATGTCAATATACTAACATTACAAAGCTTAGAGTCGTATCTCTATTCTCTTGACTAACAAATCTCACTCGTGCATCATGTTCTTATAATAAGAAACTCCATGACAATTGTTAAGGTACTCGTTCTGTTGTAGAATACATACAAGATGTTAGGGCTACTAGTGATGTACTTGTTATGATCGGATATTATGATATAGAAGAAGACCTAATAATGGACATACTCAAAGGTGTTGGTGATGAAATTTAGTCCTATGTTGCTGTTGTTTGGGTCCATGACACCCCGGTCACATTTATTGAACTATTTGATAAGTTAGAGGACTTTGAACGTCGGGTTAAGAGATCATAGAACATCATCCCATCAAATCCTATTACAACGAAAAACTATATGACTCATCAGTCTAGCCAACATCGATCTCACAACATGAAAATCAACACTTTGGTCTTTCTAACGACACACTCAAACATAAAATCAAAATCCTCTCAATTATCATTTAAATTAGAATCCTCCCTCATCCAACTTAAATCATCCCTCAAATTGATTTGTTTGAAATTTTTGTGAAATTACAGGGAATCTAACTGGTAAGTGCTGCAAACTCGTAAGATTTCTCAAAACAAAAACCAAAACATGGAGATTACTAGCTCTCAAGTTAGTGCTAACATGACATTTCACAACAAACCATCCACATAACAATGGCTTGTTGATTCTAGAGCTTATCATCATGTCATTAACGATGTGAACAATTTGCAATAATTTTCAACCTACGATATTCCAAATGAAATAAATATATATTGATGATCACACATGTTTGAAAATATATCATAGTGGTGGAGCACACTTGTCCTAGAAAAAAAATCATTTTTCTTAGATAATGTTCTATGTTCCCCTTTTATCAAAACCAATAATGTGTGTGGGTTTCCTATTCCACATTTAAAGTTGAATACAAAGTTGTTGCAAACAGTATCACATATCTCATGTAGATTCAAAATTTGCAAAAAAATTTCTTAGCTACTTTCCAAATTCCTTGACAACATACCAATCTTTGTGTAAAACCAATTCCCTACTTTCTCATAAGTAAAATTTTTATTTAATCCATCATATTATTTATCGCTCAATAACTCTATAAACTATATATATATACACACACACACACACACACACACACACACACACACACACACACACACACACACACTACGAAAGGTGTTGTATGGTGTACGTATTTAATTAAGTTGTTTTGGAATATATATTATATATATATATATATATATATATATATATATATATATATATAATATATATATATCTATAGAACAAATATGGTCCTTTAGCTTTATAATTTTTCCCTGAAATGGTCCTTACGGAACTTTTTTCCATGATATGGCCCCTACGGAGCAAACATTGCACATAAATGACCTTTTAGTTTTAATTTTGTCCCAATACTGGTCCTTTTGATTAACTCTGTTAAATTTTGTAGTTAAACCTATATGAAATTACCAATATACCCTTAATGAATTTTTTTGTTTTCTTTTTAAATTGATATATAATAAAACCTTATAGACCGATGCCCTCTCTCTCTCTCTCTCTCTCTCTCTCTCTCTCTCTCTCTCTCTTATTCTTCTTCTTCATGCTTCGTGCCTTATAGATTCTACTTATCTTCCTCTTTCATTATTCATTGGTTTTGTTATTTTATCACAATCTTCTAATCGGCTAAAAAAATGGTGGTAGCAATTCAATCATATACCAACACCACCAGATCTGGAAAATGATACACCTGCAAAAATCGCCACACACACACACTTGGAGATCAAATCACACACACATACTGGCAAATCTGATGAAGTTAGGGTTTCTTGAACTTGAAAATCGAGCTTGGATAAACAACAATGACAAATCTGATGCTCGAATAACAATGGCGGACCCGATGCAAATCGAGGTTAAACTTTGAAAAGTTAGGGCATGTCTTCAACTCAAAAATAAAAAAGAAAACGTCTTGATACTTGAACTCGAAAATCAAAAGTTGAGGATGATGTTTTAAATGTTTAAGATGGTAAAAATCTGATGGAAAACGTGATTGTTCTTGTAAGGTTTTCTTACGGTTTTTGGGGGAAGGTGACGATATAGAGAGAGATGGAGAGATAGAGAGAGATAGAGAAGGCTCCGATGAACCGCTATCTAAGGAGGAGTAAAAATTTCTTCCATCAGATCTGCTTTGGCGTTTGCAGATTCCGATGAACCAAGATCTAAGGAGGAGATCGGTAGTGGATTGGTGGAGAGAGCTAGCGAGAGAAGGCTCAATACATATCTGGTGGTGGCGGAGGAAGGAGTAGCTGCTGGTAGTAGTAGGCGGACGACGGTAATGGACTTTGGTGATGGATGGTGGATGGACGGTGGTGGTGGCTGATGGTGGCAGTAGGTGGTGTGTTCTTGAGAGGGTGTGTGTTCTTGAATGTTTAGTGTTTATGTGAAGGAGAAATCGATATGTGTGTAATGATGTGCAAGGGCAATATAGTCTTTTCATTTAATTTAACAGAAAAGCTAACGGTGTTAGTCAAAAAGACTGTTTATGTGCAAGGTTTGCTCCGTAGGGGCCATGAAAAAAGTTCCGTAAGGACCATTTCAGGGAAAAATTGTAAAGCTAAAGGACCATTCGTGTAATTTGTTCATATATATATATATATATATATATATATATATATATATATATATATATATATATATATATATATATATATATATCTATATATATATATATATATTCGTAATTTATTCGCAATGACACTATTTTTCTCTTTTTCTCTGTTAGGATTATATTTTTAATCTAGTTAAAAAGAAAATTTAGGTTATGTTTAATGTACTAGCTGAAAAGTTAGCTGTTAGCTGATAGTTGAAAAACTAGTTGCGAGCTTATAAGTTAGCCGATAGAAAAGAACGTTTTGTAAAACTAGCTAATAAACTGATTGAAATATATAAAATTACATAAAAAAATATTTAAGATAATTTGAGTTTTTTATAATTAATTAAGGATATATTAGGAATATTAATTTTAAAAAAGCTCGTGAAAAGATAGTCTTGCCAAACATGACAATTTAAAAAAATTCAAAAAATAAATTAGTTTATCAACTATCTGTAGCATGCCAAACAATGCTTTATACTTTTAATCTATATTAAAATCCACGTCTTTAGCACAATTTTTAAACAATGGATTCATATTTTGTGTTCTTCGAATCCCAGGAATTTTGATAAAGTATTTAGTTCATATAATTCAAATAAATTTATTTATTTTTAGAGATAATTGTTTTTTAAATGGCAGAAATATATTTATTTTAAATGATAAGCGTTAATCACATACTAGCGTAAGTTTCCCGAGATTTTCTTTTTGCTTTTCATTTTAAGATGGAAGAGGAGATATGGTAGTTATACCTGAATTTATGATAACTTTTTCTCTTCAATCACGTTGGGTCTTGTGTATAAATTTCTTAGGATACCATACACTTGCTAAAGACTTAGGGTCACCATCCTCTCTTTTCTTTAAAACTTACTTTTAGTCTTGAATTTTAAGAAGTTCGTAATCAAATAAATAAAATGAAGATCAGAAGATATTTATAGTTCTATAAAATTGTTCCTTAAATGTTGTTTTAAAAGTAAGATATCTTAAAAACAAAAAAAGCTAACTGTAAATATGCTTATTTTAAGTGCGATTTATCCAATATTTTATTATGATATTCTTAATACATAGTGTTAAAAAAGAAACCTAATATTTCTCTCTAGAGGGCAGATATAGTTTTTCTTTAATCTTTTTCTCCTGCTAGCTGTTCAGTAAGAAAGAAAAGAGAAGCAGGTTCCACAATTTGTGGCTCATCTTTTGGCTCACTTTTTATCCTATTATTTTCCACCCTAAAGGTATAAATCAAGCATTTCATATGATTTTGTTACATAAAATCCAATATTGTTAATGGTTTGAATTTCGATTGTCTAACACCGCAAAAGGTATACTCAGATGCAAATAAAAGCCTCTATCACGCGACGACATACAGATTTTGTTTATAATTCTTTAATTTAAATGTAGTTATAATTGTCACTCGATATACGATGCTTTTGACAAAGATTTTTAACGTTTAGAAAAATAATATTACATTCTATACATTAATACATAGAATACGTCATAAAAGCAGTTTTTTATAAATCAGTTTTTCAGATGTATTAATTTTTCTATTAAATTGATAACTAGAATTAATCATGTTATAACTTATATGTATTAGATTATTAACTAGAGTAATCTTATACGTGGTAAATTTGTATAATAAGAGGTTTAAACTACAAAATGCTTAAAAATGAATGACAAAAAAGAAAGTATTACGAATTGTGTAAATGTATCTAAATGAATTACGGGAATATATAAAAATAACTCCTATACATGTAATTTAGTTGGAGAGTGAAATATTAGATACTTCTTTTTCTCTTTTTCTTTTCAACATTGTTACTTCTCAGTGAGAACCATCAAAAGAGATAAAGAGATATACATTAACTTTTCTTTCTTTATTTTAATATTCATATTCCTTCTTTAAATCCAATATTAATTACTCTTTCTCTCTTTCTAGCTAGTGTTTATATATATATATAGATATATATATATATATATATAGTATATATATATATATATATATATTAGAGAGCAAAAAGGTGACAAAACTCACTTCTTTAACATCAGCTGATGATGATGGAGTGCACCCCATTATGAGTTCCTCCAATCCTGATGCTGATCTTCCTCCTATCTTATGATGTTGTTGCTGCTGTTTAATTTTATAGAACAACAAATTAAATTAATAATGCAGACATATATATATATATATATATATATATATATATATATATATATATATAATCAGTTGATTTGTTCTACAATAAGAGTGTAGAAAATTTCCTAGATATATTATAATTTAATGCATCAAAATAGGTAATGTTATACTCCGTAATTAATATAATAAAGTAAGTAACATATAATTTATTTATTTAAATAATTTATAACAAGAATCCCACCCATGCATGCATGCTTAAGGCTACAACATATTTAAGTACTCTATTTTGTTTACAGCAATAAAACATAATTATCCATGTGATCATGTATTGTCTTCATCGAAACAACAACTTGGAAAGTGCAAAATGATTACTTGTTCTCAACTTAGGTGACAAGACCAAATAACCCTTTATGTTTAATTATTATTATAGAGAAAATAATTAGAACGATTTTCAAATATTTTGAGGTTTTAAAGAAATACTGATTACAGTTGTATTGTTTACATTACATTTATGATGTTTAAAATGGGATTTATTTTTCATCCAAGAGCTCGATATGGTTGATTTTTGTGTTAAAGTTATTGTGTGAAAAACTTTTGTTAAAATGGTACGTGTCTTCAATTTTAAAAGTTTTTTGGACTGGCAGAAATTTTATTAAAACATACTTGTTATTCCAGAATATATACTATAAAATGTTGTAATAATAGACAAACAAGTTTAAAGATTTTCGTATTGAAATAAAAATTTAAATAATTTTAGTTTTAATTATAGGAAATGATGTTTTAAATAATATGACAAGGATCCTAAGAGAATTGATACAATTTGAGAGTATTTTCTTACCTAAACATAAAAATAAATAAACAAATAAAGTTCGTGGTAAATGCTTTAATATTAGAAAAACCGTATAAAATGAAAAATCACGACTGAACTTTTTTCCTTCAACTTGATATAGTTTACAACTTCTTCTTCTTCTCTCTCTTTTTATTTATTTGTTTTTGTAATTAATTATGCGATAACCAAACAAAAAGTTATGTTTAGATTGTCAAAAAAAAGTCTCAGCTACTAGGATACATACAAATTGTTTAATTTGTCCTACTTTGAAATTTTTGTCCATATTAAATTTCTGCTTTTCCAAATTATGTGCTACAATTATGTAAAAATACATATATTTATTTTAATAACTTACCGGAAAATTTTCCATCATCCTAGACACATGAAAGGAGTCATCATCAAGAATAATGGAGGTGTGACGTAGGGGAGAAGGAGAGATGTTTGATGACATGGCATGAGATGGCCTGCTGACATGGTAGGCTGTTTCTGCCACGTGGTGCTGATGTGGATAATGCTGCTGATGATTCTCAAGGCTCATCTGCTGCTGCTGGTGTTGCCTTTGCAGGTTAGGCGTATCGCACGTCAATGAACCCTCCCCTGTCGTCGTTCCCACCTGCACATTTCACTTGTACCCTGTTAGTCACTGCATGCATTATTACTTGTACTCCATGCATTATATATGTGAAATATAACGTACAAGCATGCATGAATTAGAATAACAAAGGTATATATATATATATATATATATATATATATATATATATATATATATATATATATATATATATATATATATATATATATATATGTTGCTGATAATGCAAGCAATTTCAATAAGAAAAGCAACACTTAAACCGTTTGAGTTCATCTCTTAACCTTGCACTCAACCAATATCAACATTTTTAGCACTCAATCCATTCCCATAAGCCAAAAAGTTGATGTAAAATACAATCAACCAATTAACCCTTTAGCAACAAGAAAACAACCCAGATTTAAAGTTGTCCATGTTTCTATCTTTATTCATAAAACCTCAAAACATAACACACGCAAGCTCAATATTTTTGCCGACTATTCACCAGGTAGATTCAAATTTAGGATCTTAAAAAAGAGCAAGTTCTAAGTTCTTGCTTTTTGATGTGTTATCTTATTTGGGATTCATGCTTTTGTGATATTGTGAGTCCCATTAATCGAGTGTAAAGAAGAAGATATATCTGGTTGTTGATTTGATCAAGAAACATACCTCACCAAAGCTTTTTCTATAGGGGATGAAGCTAAATTGCTCAACACCTTTGAAATGTTGCATTTGATCCATTGGATTGTAATTCGACATAACCGCACCAACAAACTCGTCTCTCATGTTACTGTAAGTTTCAACAGTAGGAGTAGCAGTAACAGTAGCAGTACCACCGACAGTAATTTCTTTTGAAGAAGAACAACTCCCACTTCCGCTCCCACTCTCCCTCCTACTAACATTATTCTTTTCATATATATTATTTACACCTTCAATGTGAATGTTGTTATTCATAGCTCTTTCGGACCAATTACATTGCCTTGGTTGAGTCTGGAAAAATATCTTCGATACAACGAGCTCACCTTCTCTCTCCTCCTCGAGTTGTCCAAGATGATATTGATGCATTACCCAATTTGTCTTTTCGGGTTTTCGGTTTTTCCCAAAGTTGGTATAGAGTACCAAGATTTTCTTGCATCCCTTTTGCTTTTGGTTCACCATAACGGGTCGGGTCTTGCCTGTTTTGTGCCACCGTGTTTCACCACCTTGTAGGTCACATTCCATTTGGATTTTTCGCCTTTTTCTTGTACCCGTGGTGTAGGCTTTAGAAGGTCGATGAAAGAAGTGTCTACTCAATCCATCTCTTGTAACTCCTAAAAGATCAAACATGGAAAAAAAATTGAAAGTCATAACAAACAAAAACCCTATAAAAATTAGGTTATCTTAGGTGTGACAAGTACTGCAAAATTCACTCAAAAAAGTCAAAACAAACAAGAAAACCCTAATTTTCTTGGGTGTCTTATAGTAAAACCTAACTGATTGAACTATTGAAAATTACAATAAAAGATATTTATGCGATCATGTGTTTTCTTGTGCTTGTGGGTGTTCTTTATTCTTATCCTTTTCGGCTTTCCAGGGTGGTGAAACTTGAAACCACCACTTAATTTCCGTTGTAAATTAAAACTCACCAGGGAGTTTTTCGGGATGAGTATAACAAATTCCATCTTCTCCTTCGATAGTAGGGATGAACTCATCTATCAAAGGGTGAGATTTATTTGAGTTTTTAGCTTCGACTTTTGCTTCAAGATGTTCTATCAGCTCTTGATCAGTTGGATCAAATTTGACTCCTGCTGGTAAACCTACCCAATCCTGCAAATGAAAAAAGTAACAAGAAATTATTAATATATATCATATGAATTTCAACAAAAAAGAAAAGCTTACGAATTAATAAATCACTAGAGAAAGACAATCTTTTTATTATGGGATTTGTTTATGTGTATCTTTTCTTGAAACAAGAGATTTAAATATAGAAGGAAAATTCAGCAGCAAGCATAATTCTATTCTCATGTTTGATTCTTATTTGTCAAAATCTTATAGTTGAAGCTAAGAATATTATGAGACGATTGTATCTATATATATGTACATTAAATTAAACAAAATTATACCCCTACAACGTACCGGTTTTCCTTCAAGTTTATGGCCACAACCGGGACACTGTTTGGATCCACAAAATTGATGCTCTTCCAGCTTTGCATCAATGAGATCAGAGCTGCTGATATTCATTTCTCTTACTACAAAACGGGGCTTTGTTTATTGGTTAATCGATCAAGAACTGCGGCATGAAATCCTGATTTTGATCACCACACGTAAGAAAAGAAAATGCTAGAACTTAATCCTCGTTAGTTTCTGCTTCCTCTTCTTTTACTACTACTAATACTATATTGAGATCTGATGGTTCTGGACGGATGATGATGAAGAAGAAGACGAAGAAGTACAGACACTAGAACACGTTCAAATACGTTTTTAGGTGAAAAACAAATGAAAACGAGATTGGGAAGGATACCCGGATGAGATATATTCTTCAAAAGTGGAAATATTCCAAGGATAAATAGAGAGAGAGAGAGAGAGAGAGAGAGAGAGAGAGAGATATGCTTTAACCATCAAAAACACCAGAATTCCCTCCAACTTTACCTGAAGCAAGTGAGATAAAGGAAAAGGTGTGTCTCTTCTCTTCTCTTTTACTTCCCCTAATTTATATAACATATAGCTCTATCTTTTTTTTTTCAGGCGGTTGATATATATATATATATATATATATATATATATATATATATATATATATATATATATATATATATATATATATATATAAAAGTTCAATTGAGAAAATAAAAAAGGTTGAGAATGGGGGAATCATTCTCAGCCACTCATTTAATCTAAGCATAAAAAGACACGGTGGGAAACTTGTAAATATGTTAATAACATTCAATCTCAAATACGTAACTATAGAGAATTCGATAACAGTTCGTTCATCATCAAAATTTCTCCTCCAACCTTCAACAATCATCCAGATTTCTTCAAGTAAACCATCATCAATGTCATCCAGTGTTAATCAATCATCAATTTCATCGATTTCTTTGTTGAATACTCCGAATGTTCGTAGCTTGCAAGCATCTGTTAAAGTTCATAACAGATTTGGAACTGGAATTTCCCAGATTCGCAAACGAACTCAGTTGGAATCGGAATTTCTTCGATGTTCATGAAATTGGAATCGGAGTTCTGGACTCCCACTCACAGTCGACATTGAAGGACTCGGAATCGGTACTCACAGGTTCCCAATCGGATTTTCGGAAATCAAAATCAAAATGAGAAATCGATCAGACATAGGATGTCGCATCTGAAGTCGAAATCGGAAGTATATGATGATTTGGAATTGATAACTTGAATTGGAAGTATCATGTTTTTAACATTTTTAAAATAGTTAAATTGTATGCACTCCAACTGTTTGATGAAATGCATAAACTAAATTACCACGTTATATTCACATATGAATATGTTTTCTCACATGAATCAGTATATAATTATTAAAAACACAAAACAAATATGCAAGTCTGTATGTTATTTATATGTGAATAACATATAAAAATTATATATATTTGTGAAAATACCTTCTAATATTCATAAGTGAATATACCTTGTAATATTCATATGTGAATATAATGTGTAATATTCATAAGTGAATATATCATCTAATATTCACAAGTGAATATACTATGTAATATTCACATGTGATATACCATGTAATACTATGTAATATTCACATATGAAAATATCATTTAATATTCATAAGTGAATATATCATATAATATTCACAAGTGAATATACTATGTTAATATTCACAAGTGAATGCATCGTCTAATATTTAAATATGAATATATATTATGTTTATTATATGCTATATTCATATATGAATGATACTTAAATTGTAAAAAAAATTAATCATACTTTTTATTCATAAGTGAATAACGAATGTACTATAATTAAACCTGATGCATTTTTATTCACTTATGAATAACGATAGCTGAAAATATAAAAAAAATAAATTTTTTATTTTATCTTAAAACTATATCAATATGGATGTCTATTTGTAGAGAATAAAAAATCATGAATTTTGGTATATTTAAAATCATTATTCGATAAAAATAGCTTCTTAAAAATTAAAAAAACGAGTATATATTAAGGTAATGATTAGAATAGTTTAAGGAAATATGTTTTGTTGGAAAACACATGTCCATTCATTTCCCATTTCCGCTGGTACGACGAGGCTTTTGCGGTAAAAATAAATGAGTGGCTGAGAATGATTCCCCCATTCTCAACCTTTTTTTTCTCAATTGAACCCTCATCTCTCTCTCTCTCTCTCTCTCTCTCTCTATATATATATATATATATATATATATATATATATATATATATATATATATATATATATATATATATATAAGCTCTAGATCTTTTGAAAACTCAAAAAATCTTGACAAGAACCAAATTTGGACCACAAGATCAAAAAATTTAATAGCTTAAAAAATATATGATTTTTAACATATTTTCTAGAAGAAACGAAAATTATCAAAAAACGCTTTAGAAAAAGATACCAGGCCGATCCCAAAGTATCTCACTTGGCTGCAGTCAAATAGATCTTCAGGTATCTCAAAGGGAGTAAGGCCTTGGGTCTCTGTTACCCTGCAAGTAACGACTTCAGTATACAGACATTCACAGATGCAGATCATGCAGGTTGCAAACTTGATCGAAAGAGAACTTCGGGTGGATGTTAGTATTTGGGTGGAACATTAGTAAGTTGGTCGTCAAGGAAACAGAACTGTATCTCACTATCAACCACAGAGGCCGAATATGTGGCCGCGACCAGTTGTTGCTCCCAGGTTCTCTGGATAAAGACACAACTTTTGGACTATGGGTACAGGATGTTGCGGGTACCAATCTACTGTGATTCAGAGAGTGAGACAACCATTTCACACAATCCTATCCACCACTCGAAGATGAAACATATTAAACTACGGTACCATTTCATCAAAGACCATATCCCCAAAGGCAACATTGAACTAATCTTTGTTCCAACTCATGAGGAAATTGTTGATGTTTTCACCAAGGCACACGACTTCAAAAAACATAATGCATTTTTCAAAATGTTAGGGATGATGAACCCTGACCCGCAGTTCTTCTTGAAAGAATAGCTACCGCAAACCTCATAGGTCTTTGGGTGTGAGTAAAATTGCCTTTTTTTCTTTTCAAATCAAAATTCTTGATGAACTTTACTCATTGTTGTTTCTTTCTAGAATAACTGATGAAGTATATACTTCATAGATGGCTCCTTAGTATACTTTGTATACTTCAACCATTTATGATCTACATACTCCTCGGATCTCTTTATTTCTTTTATTTCTAATCTTTATGATCTAGTTTGTTTTCAGCTCCTAGCTCCCGCAGACGCATTAATGAACCCACAGTTATCATTCACAGTCGCTTTAAATGATATTGTGTGCTACTTAATGAAACTTAAAACATTCTTCAAACATTCAATTTGTCGCACATGATAATTCAGTTACCTTTTCAAAAGACTTTCCGCAATCGGGTCTATTTTTGGATAAAAGATAAATAAACTGATTTTCCATAAACGAAATGTTTTTTGAAAATCTATTTTAATCAACCAGTCACATTAAGCAACAGTTGGAGTCACGTGCAACATATTTAATGCTCCTCTTTTCCTCGATAAACCTTTTAAATTTAATTTAACTTTTAACAGATAATGGTAAAAACCCAAAGGTTTTTCCTGCTTTAACAGCTGGAATTAAACTGTTATTAATTATTTTTGAAATCTGGTGGTATAAAAACCCTTTTTCTTCTCCAAGAAAGCTTTACTCTTTCTGATCTCTTACAGAGGAACTTTTTCTCCTTCATCTCTCTTGCAAAAACCCTTTCAAGCAAGTTCTTCAAACTTTTTTCCTCAACAATGGTGAAATCAGGTGTGTCTAAGAAGCAATCAAAGGCCTCTGGATCTGGAAGACCAACTGGTTCTGGATCCACTATCAAGGATTTAACTCCTTCAATTGCTGCTAGCAACTACAGAGGGATATTTGATGATCACGACTTTTACAACGACGCAATCAAGATCATGATCAAGTTTCTCCCAACTCATCCCCTGTTTGGAGCCTTTGATTCATTTACTGAAGCTATTCCACAAGCTGTTGTCTTCAAGTGTGCATTCTATGCACTCAGACCTAATGACAAGCCCTAAGTTTATCTTAACCTAATCGACGATTCCCTAGTTGTCTTGACCAAGGAAAAGTTTCTTCCTGCAATCAATTTGAAGGTTTTTACCTTCAATCCAGTTCTACTCTCTAAGCACCATTGATGTCTACTCTGCACTGTACCAGATGGGGAACCATGTCAAGCTCAAAGGAATCGCTGAATTCAAGAAGAGCAAATTGCCTGCTATTTGGCAATTTGTATGCCACTATGTGATCCGTTGTCTGTCAGGAAGAACTGGAGGGATGGAAAACATAGGAAAACCTCTGCTGGATATCGTATGGAGCATCTTCATCGGAAAACCAGTCAACTATGGGCAAATCCTCTGGGAGGACTATCTGCAGTACGTCTCCAAAGGTGCCCCGAAAGAAGGCATGACAGAACTCACCTTTTCTAGGTTCTAGTCTCTATGACTTGTGGATCTTCATAAGGATGCCAATCTCAGCTTGGGAAACGATACAAATCTCTTCTCTGCAAGAGACCTCAAGAGGTACAATCCTTCTAAGGACCAATCTATCTTCAGTCCTATTCGTCGTCTCCCTATGTACATTTTAGAACTATTGGACTTACCAACATAGAGGTAGCTGACCATATTATGGCTACGAGTGGTATTGCCTCATATCACTCTTCCCCACCAAGGCCCCTTCAATCTACCGAAGTCCAAGACCCGTAGCCTAAACCCAAAAGAGGCAAATCTTTGGATGTTAAGAAAACACCCGCTGACATTGTAGTTAATGGTACGGGTCCCTCAAAGAAAAGAAAAACCAAACCCGCAGAACCTACTCCTCAGGTTCAACAATCTGTATCCAAGGCTCATGACTCTCTAGTTAGTGTCATCGATGAAAGTCACAATGAGCCTTTAGAGTTTGGAGATGTGTTTAGGCGATAAAAGTTGAATCTTACCCCCAGTCAAAGCCAAAAGAGAACCGAGGCACATGCCGGAGTCTCTCAAAAGACTCCCCCAGCCGTTCGAGTCCACATTGACTCACCTGCAAAAACCCAACCTAACCACTCTGATACAGTAAGTGTATTAGTTTCATCTCAACATTGAGACAAAACCCAATCTGGATTCCAAGAGAATCAAGATGTTGATGTCCACCCTAAGGTCTGTAGGGCTTCACACTTGCACTTTATTTCTCCCAAGGTACTGAACTCTATTCTTTTTCATGTCACACATACACCGTAAACACAAGTTGCACTGCAGGGTCCTTTTTCAGAGGCCCTAGCCAAAACAAAGCAGAGGCCAAACTTGGTTTTACACCAAGGAGACCAAGGAAGCTCTT